ATATTATATATTATAATATATTATACATATTATATTATATTATATTATATATTATTATATAATAAATATTATTATATTATAGTATATTATTTTATATATTATAATATATTATACATATATTATATTATATATTATTATATTATTATTATAACAACAAAAATAGCTAGAAGCACTTAATTTAGTGATCTACTTCTAGTATCAAGAACTAAAGTCTGTAGCAAATTGCTGTGCCAAAAAACATAATTTAGCAAATAATCCAGATTATCCTGTATATAATCTGGGATAAGAGCAGTTCAAGCAAACTGCTTCAGAATCACAGGGTTAGAAAACATTGGGTGGAAGCAAGGAAAAGTGTTCTCAAAAAACTGTCCCAAGCCCACACAGCATGCCCAAAAGCAGAAGATTAAGTCAGAATGAAATGTCCATCCAAAAACAATCCGATGTAAGAATCCAGTCTTTAAACCGCTTTGAAACGGCTTGTCTCAACCCAGCTAAAACTCTTCCTTGGCCAGCAGCTTAAAACTATTCTAATATAATATAATATAATATAATATAATATAATATAATATAATATAATATAATTATTATTAAGAATGGATGGACAGGACACCTGTCAGGGGTGCTTTAATATACAATTATATTAATATAATACAATATACAGTAATAATATAATATAATATAGTAATATAATATATAATAACATAATATAATATAATATACAATAATAATATATTGTAATAATATAATATAATATTATTATAGTATATTATTATTGTATATTATATTATATTATTATTATTATATTACATTATATTACATTAAACCGTTTCAAACCGGTTTAAAGACTGGATTCTTACTTCGGATTGTTTTTGGATGTTTCCTTCTGACTTAATCTTCTGCTTTTGGACATGCTGTGGTCTTGGGACATATTATATAGATATAATATGATATATTATAATATAATATATACAATTATAATATAATATAATATAATATAATAATAATATAATATAATATAATAATACACAATTATAACATATAATATAATATAATATGATATAATATACAATAATAATATAATATAATATAGTAATATAATATATAATAACATAATATAATATACAATAATATATTATTGTATATTATATTATATATAATATATTAAAATATCTATTATATTATATTATATATTATTATACTATATTATAATTAAGCTGTTCCTCCTAATCCTCCTCCTCCTCCTGATTCTTCTCCTCCAGCTGGCTGCAGGATTCTGAGTCACACTGCCATATAATCCAGTTTAAAGCACGTTTTGGGGGATTTTGTGCTTTGAGATTCTGAGTTATATGGCTGTGTGGAAAAAGCTGGGTTATGTGAGGCCACACTGCCATATAATCCAGTTTAAAGCCCGTTTTGGGGGATTTTGTGCTTGAGATTCTGAGTTATATGGCTGTGTGGAAAAAGCCGGGTTATGTGAGGCCACACTGCCATATAATCCAGTTTAAAGCCGTTTTGGGGGATTTTGTGCTTTGAGATTCTGAGTTATATGGCTGTGTGGAAAAAGCTGGGTTATGTGAGGCCACACTGCCATATAATCCAGTTTAAAGCACGTTTTGGGGGATTTTCTGCTTTGAGATTCTGAGTTATATGGCTGTGTGGAAAAAGCTGGGTTATGTGAGGCCACACTGCCATATAATCCAGTTTAAAGCACGTTTTGGGGGATTTTCTGCTTTGAGATTCTGAGTTATATGGCTGTGTGGAAAAAGCTGGGTTATGTGAGGCCACATTCCTGATAGTTCGGCTGATCGGCTGATCAGTAAACATATTCATGAATTTCCTGCTGTTATATTAAGACTCTTACCCATGCTGTGACAGTAATCTCCCCCCCCCCCGTTTAAAAAGTTTGAAGACCCCTGATATATAGTAATAAATAATAGTTTGAAGCTGCTGCCCAGGAAGACAGCATGAGGAAAGAGGAGGGAAGCAGCAGAGCAAAGGTGGCTGGCAGGAGGGGAGAGACTGGAAGTGGGGCAAATGCGCGGCTTGCTAGCTTGCTACGGGGGAGGAAAACACGGTGCTTGGGAGCGCCGGATTGGCTCCCGGCGCACCCAGCATCCTCCATCCTTAAACGTCATTTCCGAAACGGGCGGAAGCTCGTAAAAAAGATGGAGGATGCCGTTTCGATATTTAAAAACACTTCCGGGTTTGAAAATAAGTTTTGTAATCGTTTTGTAATTGTTAAAAATAACAAATATTAACGAATTACAAAATTAACGAACGAAACCGCCCAGCCCTAATACATACTTATTTATACAGCACTCACCTCCCCATCTGTAAACTTCTAGGTGGGTTGCCAGGTATTATACATTTATACATGGGACAGTCCTTCAAAGGAACAGAGAGGGTGACAGACACAATAGGCTCTACCAGAGCCATATTAATATAACTGGCCACCCAGAGACAGCTATAATATTTCTTCTCATTAATGATCTCTGTAAATCACACATTTGGGTAATCTGCACACGCACAAAGCATTGTTCTGAACCCTAGAATTACTAGGCAGAAAAAGTTTTGGCAGTAATCTCACCCACCATCCTGAGACTGTATAAAGTACGGTTGCCGCCAAACCCCCTCCGTTTCTTTCATCTGCACTGCAGCCAGTTCAGGAACCTTAGTGATTTGAGCTCATTAGTTCTTCAGACTTTGCCCATTCTTCTACAATTTGGACTGCTTTATTCTCTGGCAAGAGCCCCATTCCAACCTTATGTTGTCAAGGCTCCCACTTTCGAGTCATCTCATTCTGTGAGTACAGTACTTACGGCCTAGTCCAGTATGGCCTCCATGACTTGCTTTGAGCACTGTGAGCAGTGTACAGGTAAACTTGCTGGCACAGTTGGGCATTCCAAGTTCCTTTTTTGCTTCAGTGAAGGACAGTCTATCCACTCCTGAATTCATCGCCATACCTTTATGCCTCAAACAAGGAATAATTGGGAGGCAAGGCTTCGTTCCTCCTTGTACCAGCAAGCCCTCTCACCTTCCTCCTCAGCTTCCGCTTTGACTTCAACCTTGAAGTTGCAGATTGGGTCAAAGCATTCAGATGTGGCTTCTCAGCACCAGTCCCTGCATCCACTTTGGGGAAACCTGTTCTTTTTTCAGTGTCTTCGATGAAAGTGGCTATGGAACATTCAGCAGAGGAAGTGACTGTTTGTCATTAGAAGAAGATGAAGTCCAAGGAGTAAGGATTCGATATTGGAATGATGGATCTGACCACCTGACATCGAGAGGAGGTCTGCATGTGGAAGAAAATTGTGATATCTGCATTGAGACATCAGAACGCGGCTGAACCAATGTCACCTTGGCCACTATGGGGTGATCAGGATAATAAATAATAATAATTAAACTTTATTTATATCCTGTCCTATCACCCCAAGGGGACTCAGGGCAGTTTTCAACAAAAAATAGCAAGCGATGCCATTTCTGATCAATGATAACTATGCATAGTATTCTAATCCTCTTCCTCCTCTCTATATGCAAGAAAACATAAATGTGTTTTAGCTTTTTTTTTAAAAAAAAGAGAGAGTAGAGAGGGTGACATTTTTATTTCTTTAGGGAGAGAGTTAAAGAGGCAGAGGGCAATCACAGTGAAGGCCCCCCCCCCTCGTTCTCAACAGCTACACTTGTGGTGGGGGTGGGACCGAGAGCAGAGCCTCCTCTGCTGACCACAGTGCCCATAGTTGGGCAGCAACCATACCTTGTAAATTCTCGAGATGGTGGGCTGGGTTACCACCAAAACTTTTTCTGCCTAGTGATTCTAGAAGGTTCCAAACAGTGCTTATGTGAATTCACAGATGACCACTCAAAGAAATACAGTTAGGGGTAAGCAACTTGTCCTTGCTTTAAAAATGTTTTCAACTTTTAAATAATAGTAAATATTAGTAAATAATAGTAAATAAACTTGCATTGTCTTAAAAATTCTAGAATTGTATCTCATCGCCTATGCTTGTTGTCTTTTTATTGAAACTTTTCCCTGCTTTTTATGCTTAATGATAATGTGTACAAATATGAAAAAAGCCAGCAGATGCAAAAGCAGCAGTGGTGGCAGTCAGATGTTGAAAGTCACAGGAAATAACAGCAATGGTGGGGCAAAGGCAGAAATGGTGTCTATAAGAGGAAATGGTGGTAGGCTCTGAGTCAACTATTTCTGAAAGCCCAGTCTCTAAAAGATTAAGGTCCTAGAAATTACTTAGAAAAAGATTTATGCCAAGGCATGTCAGTAAGCTATCTCTCCCCAAATACCTTGGTTCTCACCACCACCATCCCTCCCAGCATATGGAAATAGGATATTCAAACTGAGCAGTTGCCGCCTTCTATGGATGCTGCTGCTGTATCTTTTGCTTTCTTCTAATCCATGTACAGGCAAAGAAAAAGCACAACCACTAGCACAGGGGTCACAATTGTGCAGCCTATAGGCTGCATACATCCCTTTGAAGATTATGTGTGGCCTTGGATGACTGAATCTATTGGTATCATTAAGGCTTTTCCCCATCACTTTTCTTAATGAATCTAAGAAAATGAAGTTTGTAAATGTATATTGCATCTACCTTAATGAGTCCCGTTAAAGTCAGAGAAATATATGGTACTTAATGATACCAGCAGGTTCAGTCAACCAAGAAAATTTAGCTAAACTTTGCTAGTAACTTACTTTTACACAAATAATTCTAACGACAAAGTTACCAGTCTACTTTGGAACACTCTTTGGAAGCATCAACTGCTATTCCCACATGAAATGCAGATGTACATAGCCAAAGATATTGAAAACGATTCTGAATTTTTTGATGTTTTTATAGAATTTTAATTTATTTCTCTTTTGATATTGCCTTCTCCCTCCTACTCTCACAGCTTTTTCCCATTAGCTCAAAGTTGGCATTAAGGTGCCATTTCTACAATTGAACAGATTGAATATATTGAAGTACAACATTTTATCTTTTTTTCCATGATAGGAATACACAATAGATGTTTTTTTCCGTCAAAAATGGAAAGACGAACGGTTAAAGTTTAAAGGTCCAATGAATATTCTTCGACTGAATAATCTAATGGCCAGCAAAATATGGACTCCAGATACATTCTTTCATAATGGGAAGAAGTCAGTTGCTCATAACATGACCATGCCAAACAAACTACTAAGAATTCAAGATGACGGGACTCTCCTATATACTATGAGGTAAACTTTCTATTCCATGTAATTCTGTTTACTTTCCTGGTAGACTATTTTGGTGGGTGAGGGAGATTCTAGCAGCTGTCAAAAATGCAAACTTTTCCCTTCTGAAGTTGCTTCCTTACCAGAAAAAGTGGAGAATCAGGGGTCAGAGGTTGGATGGGGAAAGTATTGAGCTGTCCATGAACTTTATGAGTCCCTATCATTTTAATTCCAAGTCACCATGAGCAGCTTTTCCTATAAGTCACCTCTCAGGGTGTTTAATACAGAAAATTAGGGCAATATCCCTAAAGCAGTATCATTATGGAGCTCCCTATGCACACCTGTATGCTACTAGTTGTAATGTTCACAATTTTCTAGTACACAGTTATATTTATTTATTTATTTACTATACTTTTATACCGCCTTTTGCAGTCTATTGGTGACTCAAGCGGTTTACAACAAGTCAGTACACAAAATAGCAAATTACAAATTAAACATTAAAACAATATAAAACCACAATAGAAACAATAAAAACCAACATCATTATCATTAGCATCTCCTAGTTAAAAAAAAAGTTGTCCAAGTTCCATTGTTAAGTGATTCCAATTCCTATGTCGGTTACTTTGCATTTGTAAACACTTGCTCATATAACCATGTCTTAGCTTGTCCGAAACATTAAGAGTGAAGGAGCCAATCTAATTTCCTTAGGGAGGACATTCCATAGCCGAGGGGCCACCTCAGAGAAGGCCCTGTCTCTCGTCCCCACCAAGCGTACTTGTGATGAAGGCGGGATCGGGAGCAGGGTCTCCCCGGATGATCTCAAAGCCCTAAATGGTCCATAAGGGGAGATTTGTTCGGACAAGTAAATTGAGCCAGAACCGTATAGTCTGTAGAGAATCTGTTACATTTTAGGGCTAGGGATAACTTGTTTGTTCTTTATTCATTTAGTCACTTCCGACTCTTTGTGACCTCATGGAACAGCCCACGCCAGAGCTCCACCTCCAGCTCCTTCAGAGTCAAGCCAGTCACTTCAAGGGATAACTTAGTAATTAGAAAATTTGGATGTTGTAATCCAAAAGAAATATCAGATATATCATGACATTGTCTAAGATTTATCTCTGCATTGATCTACTTATTGTTTACAATTGGTTGAATAAACAACAAAAGCTAAATTGTATATTTGGTTTCAATGAGCACAAGTTATGCGCCATATTATTCTGATTGTTAGAAAACCTTCCGTTATATCATTACTAACTGTCACTGGGTATTTCCTCATAATTTTGAAGTCAATTTTTTAAATATAGTGAGACAGTTTCATATGAGCAGAACTTGCAAAGTTATGTTTAAAAAGTCTGAATATCATATCATCATCACCTTTCACAGGGAACTAAAATTAAAAGTAATTCATAAATAATAAAAAACAAATAAATTAAAAACACAGCTAATTAAATGGTTATACGAGTTATCCTAGCAAAACAACCAACAGATTTTTAAATATATATATATAAGAAAGTTTTTAATAATTAAAAGTACAGGTCATTGAAACCTTATCCTTAGCAGTGGCCATTTAATACAGTTCGAAGTTAGCTTCAAACTTAGGTGGCCAGACAACAAACCCACACAAAAGCATGTGGAAAAAAAGCCCTTAAGTGCTCTGTGGGTTGTGCAGTCACCATCCAGGCCCCAAACTGGTTCCAGGATTTCTTAAGCAATCTTTTGCAGAGCAAAACTATTTTATTTATTTATTTATTTATTTATTTGACTTGTATACCGCCACTCCCAATTTGGCTCGGAGCGGTTTGCAGCAGTATATTAAAACAATACAACCAACTTTAAAATACAATAAAAACAAGAACCAACATAGTCCTGAGTTATTCATCCATTGAAAGCTTGCCGGAAAAGAAAGGTCTTACAGGCTTTCCGAAAAGCAAGTAGCTCTCGGATGGTTCGGGTTTCAACTGGCAAGGCATTCCATAAATAAGGGGCCACAATCGAGAAAGCTCTCTGCCTAGTAGAGGACAGATGATAAGTGCGGATGTTGGGGACTTCAAGCAAATTTTGGTCTTCGGACCGAAGTAATCTCTGGGGTTGGTAGGGGGATAAGCGGGCCCTCAGGTACGCCGGCCCCAGACCATATAAGGCCTTAAAGGTTAGTACCAGCACCTTGAAAGTAATCCGGTACTCGATCGGAAGCCAGTGCAGCTATTGTAGAATTGGGGTGATACGACACCTCACCGGCACCCCGGCGAGAAGACGAGCCACCGCATTTTGCAGCAGCTTCAGTTTCCGGATCACTGACAAAGGAAGGCCAATGTAGAGGGCGTTACAGTAGTCAAGCCTCGAGATGACCATCGCCTGGAACACCGTAGCCAGGTCGTTTCTAGATAGGAAGGGAGCCAGTCGCCTAGCCTGACGTAGGTGGAAAAACGCAGATCTGCTCACAGCAGAGACCTGGGCCTCCATTGTGAGCAGAGGGTCCAATAAGACAGCAAGGCTTTTTACAGAAGGTGACGGACGTAGTGTCTCGCCATCCAGGGTATACAGCTGGATCTTCAATACCAGTTTGAAACTGCATTAAATGGTCAGTGTAAAGCTCCTCTTCTGTTGCCAAATCCTGCATGACTGAAAGGGGTCTCAAAATATTGGCCTACCATTATTTTATTACAGTTCACTTCAGCACATCATTACATTAATCTTTTTGACATAATTCAAAGCTCTGTGAAGGACCAAAGAAAAACAAATTCTGAAAAATTGTAAATTAAGTTTTCATTACTTTTACATAATACTTTGTGATTGGAATGTTTTTTGTGAAACTGATTTCTGTTACCTCTTAGAAGCAAGCAAGCATATCGTGGTCTTTTGCCTTCTAGGCTCACAGTCCAGGCTGAGTGTCCAATGCACTTAGAAGACTTCCCTATGGATGCTCACTCATGCCCATTGAAATTTGGCAGCTGTAAGTAACATGACTCTTCAGTCAGCCTATAGCTATTAAATATCTAATACAAGGCATTGTTTCATTGCACATATTTATACATGCTTCAACAACATTGTGTTACTTTATATATTCTGAGTTTGAATTTTAAAATTTCTTTTTAGTGCTTTTCTCATTTAACATATTAGCTCACCCTGTGTACTTGTTTTTAAAAGATGCTATTGTCAATAACTCATCATAAATATACTTGCATCTTTCCCTCATATGATGGCATCAATATATATTATAGTAGCAGTATGACAGTGTTGTTAGTCTAGCACCCAGATCAATACAGTTTTACATATCTAAAATACCATACTTTAGAAACAAAGTAAGGAATGTATGATGAATGATACTTTTGAAAGTTATATTAGGCTACCCAATATGAAGTATGTTTTACTATTAATTTTCTTTCTTTATCAATGAAAGCTATAGTAGGTAAACTGACAAATTAAAAGGTGTTGTTAGAACTGTCTGTATACATTTGACACAAGTCAAATATATAGTCAAAATATACCTAAGTCTGATGTCAGTGGACACTTGCTTGAAAGAACCTCCAATAATAATAATAATAATAATAATAATAATAACACTTTATTTCTACCCCGCCACCATCTCCCCGATGGGGACTTGGAGCGGCTTACATGGGGTCAAGCCAAGACAACATAATACAGCAATAAAATCAAAACATAATACAGCAATAAAATCAAAACATATACAACAAACAACAACAACAACATCACGGTGACAATTAAAAAGGAAAAATCATAAAATAAACATTCTAGTAAACACAATCACAGTAATGAAGGCAATGGGCGGGCCACATATTCAGGATAAAAAACAGTTAACAAACTATAATGAGATAAAGTAGGAGCAGGAAGTTTATATGGAACTTATAAAAACACACAGAGTTGTGAGGCTGAACATCCTATTTGGAGGGCACGAACTCCATTGGCAGAAAACGTTGAGGGGAGCAAAATATCATCCTGTGCATCTACTCACCAATAAGGCTTACTTCTGAGTTCGCTTACACAGGATTGCATTGCAGTTCAATTTAGCCTCTGCCTGACTTACCGGGTAGAGACATTGTGGAGAGGGCATCCTCCCACCCACCATGGCGATGGCTGGGAGCTTCTCCTTCCCAGAAGCCCCCTCGGTGGCAGGAAAGTTCCCATTGGCTGGACCCCTGCTTGCTTCCCGATTGGATGGGGGGCGGCCGCCCGCTGACCTTCAGGCATCTTTTTAAAGGCTGTGCAAGGCCACACCAAGCAGCATGCCTTCTGTTGAACCATCTCATCCACCCTTCATAGATGTTTAATGTTCCTGTTTATGTTTTTCATTGAGCTTTGTTCCTTTGTCACAACTTGCAGGTATATGGCATGGGCCCTGGATCTGGCATGCTAATTCCTCTCCAATTGGAGGGGGGAGCATCCGGTCATTTACGAGGGGTTCAGTGGTAACAGAGTCCCGGTATTGTGCCAGTCAGTAGCAATAGCACCCCCTGGTATGGTCAAGCAGTATCGATCAGCAGCAGGCTGACCGATTCCAGATCCAGGACCCGTCCATGGTGGTCAGCCCTGATTCTCTTCTGTAAGCAATAAACAAGTTGTGGCCCTTTTGTTATCCCAATTCTGTGTGTGTGTCGTAATTGAGTTTGCTGGCGGGAGGCTGTAGTTACACACACCCACACAACGCTACTTTAAATAAAAAGATTATCTAAATTAGATTACTACATTGTAAAATACATGTCTTTTGTATCATTCCCTTTCTCTCTAGCTTTGTGCCCATTCTTCTCCAACAATATGCAGATCATGTGAGATCTGTTACATGTTTCAAGATGTAAGATCCTTCATTTTTAATTCTAGAGGATCCTATTTATTTAAAATATATGTGCTATAACTTGCCTCAGACAGAGTGTAAGGCAGTTAATAGTAATTAAGAACTAAATATTATAACATAAAATTGTTGGACAAGATTAGCTAGACAATGGATTTGCTTTTTCAGTGGAATAAAATAAATTCTACTGATAAAATACATTTGTGCTAATTGGTAAGTGAATGACTATGGTAATCTTGTGCTTAATTTCATTGTTGACAGGAATGTGAGAGTGCATCTCCTTTGCTAACCCATAACATTTGGTTGTTAAGGGGACTAGAAATGCAAGGTTTGTTTATTTCATATGTGGGGACATGAGAGAAGCCTCCCACAGAATGGTAAAACATCCAGGCATTCCCTGAAAGCCAATTCTCTCACACCAGAAGAGACTTGCAGTTTCTCAAGTCACTCCGGACATTATTTCATTTATATTTTAATCTTTTTAAAAAAAACACACACACAAGCTTATGTCCAGACATTGCAACAAACTTTGAGGGTATGACACAGTGTCATTTATTATAATACCTAAAAAGTCAAGCCATGTCTTGTAATTGGACAACAAACTGGAATATGAAAGTACAGTGTATATTACACTAGTCAGTTGTTTGATTTGTTTCTGTTTGAAAACTGTTGCTTCTGGATTTGTGTTTTAATTATAGTTCCTGTGTTTGCTTTCACATACTTAAAATACAACCATACCTTTTATACTACACTCTTTGTCTGCCCTTTTCTCCATGGACAATGTTATCTTTTAAAAAGCAGGAAGTTGTAATTGCAGAATTCCTCAGTATTCTCTCTGTGGTGCTGCTGCTTCTGGTCTTTTTTAAATTTCTGGGTAGGGAAATGGCAGCAGTAGGCAGGGGTGATTGCTCTCCCCCCCCCCCCCATGTCACATTGGTACTTTTCCATCTCCATGGCTTCACACTTGATTTATTCATGGGTTATAACAAAAATAATAATTTTGGCCGCCCCAGAAACCTGCCCTAAACTTATACATGAAGTTGATGTATACATGACAGAAAATGAGGTGAAAGGTTTTGAACAGGGGCACAGATAGCAAAATAAACATTACAGGGGAGTTGTGCTATTCTTTCCAAAATATACTGGACAATGGAGAATGACTGCTCAGTGGTTTGCTTGGCAATTGTACTCCCAGCTGACACCTCACTTATTTCATAATGAATTACATAGACACATCTGCACCTATAGCAGAACAGAGGGCTATTAATGGGTTATCTCATGCATAAAAAGAAGAGATTTCCAAGTAGTCTAATAGCAGTACAGCATGGTAAAAGACCAAGAGAGCCACAATGACATACGGTAAGGTCCAAGAAAAGATGGCAGTCATGTGGTATTAACAGTATTATCCTATAAAGTCATATACTTGGAAGCTAGATTTATAAACTGTGGGAATTTTCATTATGTACTGTGGCAAAACATATGAGCAAAGTGACAAAACAGTTTTGCTTCTGCCAGTGAAGTTAGTTTTTGCTCTCTAAAATTAATACCGTATGTGCTAGCATCTCAGTTCAGAAAATTCAATTTTAAAATTTCAGCCCAAAGAGAGCCAGAACTCTAGTATCCTGTCAAGGTGCAGTATGAATAAGCACTAGACCTCTGGTTGAAAAGGGGCCGGGGTAATTTGGTCCATCAACTATTTCAATTTCTTGCATTACCTTGAAACAGCACTATTGTCAGGGGAAATTAGCATGCTGACTGGACCACCATGCATCTCCTGATTCTTTTCATGCAGAATCTCCTCTATTTTCAAGGTGAGTTTTAATGCCCCTTGGCTCCGTTGCAATGTTAAGGAAGCCAATTCATATTGCAAGAGCTTAGGGGTCTTCTGCTATATCCTCTCAGAGTTTAATTTTTAGGGTAATTTAGTGGTATTTATAGCGTACACAGTCCAACAGCTCTCATTCTTCACTAACCCACAATACCCAGGACTCCCCAGGATGCAGCCATGATATAATCAAAACAGTTTCTGGTGACATAATTAAAAGAGCATCTTAGCTGTTAGTTTTAGATGTTTTATTTTGTAATAAATTATAATGTGTGATTATGTTTGCATGGGTTATTTACATTTTATTTGTTGGTTAATTTTTATTGTTATTACATTTAAAGTTATTTTTATATTGTTGGATGTGTTCTCTTTTGATAAAATTTGTTTATATGCCTTTTTGTTGACACTGAATGTTTGCCATATATGTTGAAAATCATCCTGAGTCCCTTCAGGGAGATAGGGCGGTCCACAAATAAAGATGATGATGATGATGATGATGATGATTATTATTATTATTATTATTATTATTATTATTATTCTGGTGATGCCTAGCTACGTATACTTATACCCATTATTTGAGTGTCCACTGAAGTTTATTGATAGAGCCTGATTTCTCTCCAAGTATATTGACACAGTTTTCAAATGTTTCCAACAGGCATTTTTGTATTCTTTTGTAACTGTCAAATTTGTAACCGCTCTGAGTTGCCTGATGGCTGAGAAGAGCAGTATACAAGTAAAGTAAATAAAATAAATAAAATAAATTACAAATTAAGAGTCATTTTCAGTTTTTTAAAGACTTGAAACTTTGTAACTACAATAGAAATTTGATTTAATTAAGTCTATATAAAATATAGACTGAATAGGAGTCCCCCGGTGGCGCAATGGGTTGAACTCTTGTGCTGGCAGGACTCAAGACTGACAGGTCGTAGGTTCAAATCCGGGGAGAGCATAGATGAGCTCCCTCCATCAGTTCCAGCTCCCTATATGGGGACATGAGAGAAGCCTCCCACATGGATAGTAAAACATCAAAACATCCGGGCATCCCCTGGGCAAAGTCCTTGCAGACAGCCAATTCTCTCACACCAGAAGTGACTTGCAGTTTCTCAAGTCACTCCTGACATTAACAACAAATAGAATGAATCATATATTGTAAATTATTTTGTGTTATGGACTTACTCTTCATGGGCCTGTGTATAATTAAAGGTTAATTGCAAAACACTTCTGGTCTCTTGATATTACAAAAGTGTCTTTTTCCCCCCTTTCTGTAGATGCATATACATCTTCAGAAGTGACCTACAAGTGGACTTTCAATGCATCCAATTCAGTAGAAGTGGCTGAAGATGGCTCAAGGTTAAATCAGTATGATCTCTTGGGTCAGACAATTGGACAGGAAACAGCTAAATCTAGTACAGGTATGTAGGATGAAGAAAGAGATATAACAAACAACTTATTGCTACCTATTTGCCAAACAATATGTTACTGCATGGGCTCCATTATTTTATTGTGCTTTTTTATACTTGTCTTCATTTGTATTAACATTCAATACCTGCCTACTGTGGCCTTTCAGGCTTAGGTGGGTTTACTTAGAAGAGAGAGAAAGGGAAAATAAATTTTCATTCATTTTTATAGTGCTTGCAAATTTTAGAAAAAAATCCATGGACGGGATCTAAAATTTTCACAAGTGATCTTGCTTGACAAATTCATTATGGACAAATTCAGCAAGTGTACTTAAAACTGAAGTTCATCCACATTCTTCAATGAGCTAAGCTTTGGACGTTGATATTCCTACTTCCATTCCATGTCTTCCTGCACTTTTGAGAGATCTGACAAATTTGCAGCACATTTGTTTGTTTCTTTTAACTATTTTCTTCAAGTTTGCCATGTCTTTATGGATTTGTTTGTAATGATTTCTATGATTTCTATTCTTATTAATTTGATTGATTTTCTTCCAGGTGAATACACAGTAATGACAGCTCATTTTCATTTGAAGAGGAAGATTGGTTATTTTGTGATTCAGACTTATCTCCCCTGCATTATGACTGTCATCCTGTCCCAGGTGTCATTCTGGTTGAACAGAGAATCCGTGCCAGCAAGGACAGTGTTTGGTGTGTATTGTGATGGACACCTGGATGTTGTGTATGTTAACACTCAAGGCAGTCCAGCATTTCAAGTGCCAGCTGCAGTACATTTAATTCAACTCTCTTTTCAGATTCTCTTTATCAATCTTTTTTTTCCACGTTAATTTTGCATTGGGGGAAATTACTGTTATTTCCTACACTGCTTCCAGGTATAAGCTACAGCACTCCAGGCAGCGAGGAGGTGAATTAACATGAAATAGAAGCATGTAAATTGCTGGATTTGATTGTGGATAGGGGTGGGTGCAAGGCATAGAAGAAATGTGCCTCAGTGTTAGAAAAACAGATTTACCCTACAGATTCATATATAAGTCTAGAAATTTTAATCAACATCAACACAAAAAACCTGAGTCAATTTATCCATGGGTCAATGTGACCACTGCAACTTAACTCTTATCCCAAAAGGAGGCATCTCCTTCTCTGAGTAGAATGGCAAAAGGTGAAAGCTTAGTTCTAAAAGAAGCATTCACCCTTTTTATTCTCTCTTTAATCCTGTTTCTGAGCTTTCTGGATGCTTGGGTGGGGAGATAGCAATGGTAGCCAGGGGTGCTTTCTCCTCTCTACAAAATGACCTTCAACTAATCCACAGATCATATCAAAATTCATAATTTTGGCCGCAAACCCTCAACTTATGAATGAGGTCAACCTACACCTTGGTATATACAATATGTTCTCTTTTTGTCTGATATCATTACAAGTATATTTGAGAATACCAGTCCCACAACAGAAATGTTTGTCTGCTGTAAGTAAACATAAACCTATAGAGCCTCCCATGCTTATTAGCTTCAAAATTGCACTGCTGCTTTAAGATTGAGAAGAATCCCTCATTTGCTAGAGGCTGGGTTCTAGATAGGCATTTCCTTATCCTGTAGAGATAGGCGTGTGACACTTTTTATGGGCAGACCTTTGCATCAACAACATCTATAAAGCAAACTTTATTACAAGAGTGTTCTCACATTTTGAAAGCATCAAATTGGGGGCAGCAAATTAGATTTAACTCCTGGCGTATTCGAGCAGGATGTAGGACAAAACCCATTAATATAGTGTGGACATGGCTCATTTTCCTAGTTTGCATTATATACAATTACTGCTTATTTCTTCAGATTTTGGAAGAAGAGGTAAAAACTTGACAGAAATGTCTGTCCAATAATGTAATTGTTTTGGCTGCAAAGAAGCACACTGTTTTGAAAAATCAATGACAAAATGCTTTATACAACAAATTAACTCTATGCCTCACAAACCTCTCTGAATCTTAACATACTGCATGGACATTCCTGGTTTCCCCCCCTATCTTAGAGGATGTGGAATCCCAAATTCCATCTGCTCTTAGCTTTAGGCCAAAGGACAGAATGGCAACTCATACATAAAATCCTTCAGTTGAATGGGCATTAACTGGAATTAGAGCTTACATCTGCATTCAGCTCCTTAATAGTGTGAGAGGTGTATCCATGCATAGTTCTAATTTGTGGGAATTTGTATAATTTTCAGGTCCTTGGGATTAGAGATACTTTTTTTTTCTTTGCAGGTTGTTCTGTTTTTGGCACAAAAACATATGCTTTGCTGCCAGCAGGAATGATTAAAAATAAATGGCTTATTGGTTCATAAAGTATGTCTCCCATGCCCAGGTGGACCAGTACTCATGGTTTCTCTTATCCACAAAATATATCCTCACTGGGAATTTTCTAGGTTCTTTGGGTGATTCTATGGTAACTTCTGGTAGAAGTTGTTAATTCATTAGGGCTCACTGTAAATTCAGGAATGCATACCCTGTTCTATACTGTATAGCTCCATGTACTTTCACAATTTTTTCTCCAGGTTGCCATCAAATGGAAATACACCATATTAAGCACCATAAAATCCTGTAAATGCAATTCATTCTAGCTACCTTTGTTATTTAGTTAAGTGTGAAACTTCCCAAAGAAATCTCTGAAGGCTTCCTTTGAATTTTCTTTGATGTTATGCCTGGTCATGACCCTTGGAATTCCCCAAAGGTTTCACTTTGGGCTGAATCTCTGTGGCAACATGGAGTGTTGATTCCCCAAGATAACTCTTCCTACCTAAACTGAATTGTATTTGGTTGCCTTGAAAATGCCCAGCTGCCTCACTTGAGAGGTAACCTCACACTGGCAGCTTCACTGGGACTAGTTCTGAAGTTAGGAACAGGTCACAGCTCTGTTACAAAGAGAGCAGTTGCATAGGGAACATTGAAACCCAAATGTACTGACAGAATAAATTCAGAATTAATTCAGGTTTTTTCATGAAAAATCTCACACTGTTCTCTTATATTATGTGTATCTGCAAGGTTATTATTATTTTCTTTAAATTGGAACACATCCTGAAGGCAGGGAAGAGGAGGGTGAAAAATCAGTATCTATTTTTAAAATTATGTTGAATATTTCTTCTCTGAGATCAGTTCCTTTCCCCATCTTGCTTTTACTCTACTCACATAATGTACTTTTAAGCAGTAGGTTATGTTTAAGGACTTGGGATAATGAGGCAGTTTTAATAATCAAGCTCTTCAGTTCCTTTCATTTATGACATCTGTTTAATGTGGTTGACCTAAAGTGTTCATGGTGAATTACGACCAAATGATTTGTTGTCTTTGCCTTGCTTCAAATTAGCCTGTGTAGAAAGTTACAGTGCTGCTAATTGGATAAATCTTGAATATGTTCTTCATAGAAGATGCATTTGAAAAGCATTTGATTGTGCGTTCAGGGACTCCGCATAAAGCTGGCACACAGTTGCCTGGTTCAAGATTCAAATCCTTCCACAAAAAAAGAAAAAAAATCTTTAAATTGTCTATAGTATTTGTGCATAGCATTTGCATATTGTGGACAATGCTGCCATGCCAATTAAATGCAAATTCTAAAATAGTCCTAGCAACATATCCATTAAATACATTGAATTCAAGAAAAAGATAGAAAGGATAGTTAAAATTACAACCTTTATCTCAATGAAAACAAAATACAGGCAAACCTCAAGAAGATATTACTTCCTTAGCAGAAAAATTGGTACCAGCAGTAGACAGGGAAAGGATGGAGATAGGTTCATTTTCAACATGTTTCAGCAAACCTGTTATTTAAAACTAACAATATGCTCATGGGAAATCAAGCATTCAAATTGGGAAAGCCTTACATAGAGAAGTGAAAACATCTTGAAATTTCTAGAGCACATTTAAAAGTGAGCTAGTATAGTGCTTTGAGCACTGGACACAATCTTTGGTCAACTATGAAAATCAGTTAAGTGAACCATTACAAGTCTCATACTCTCAGTCTCAGCAGAAGGCAAAGGACATGTTGCTCTGAACAAATCTCACAAAGAAAATCCTATCCTAGATTTGCCTTAGGGCCCTTCCACACAGCCCTATATCCCAGAATATAAAGGTAGACATTCCCACATTATCTGAGGGCCCTTTCACACAGCCCTATATTCCAGAATATCAAGGTAGAAAATCCCACATTATCTGCTTTGAACTGGGTTATCTGAGTCCACACTCAGATAATGTGGGATTTTCTGCCTTGATATTCTGGGATATAGGGCTATGTGGAGGGTCCCTTATAGTCACTTTAAGTAGAAAATGAGGCACACAACAACGACCACAAAGAACCCACTTGAAGGTTTCTTCCAAAATTCATCCAAAACTTTTTATTTCACTATCTCCCACTTTTTTGTTTTTGAAGGGGTAGATAATGTATGGGGTTGATTATTCTAATAAAATTTAATTAAAATATGTTTTAATGCAGAACAGTTATGACTGTAAATGAGTAGACAAATTTAAAATTTGATCATTCACTTTTTGTGTTTATTTTCTTTATTTAAGGGATAATAACCTTTTTGGCATTAAGAAATTAATTTAATGGATTTTTGAAGCTGTTCCAGAACACTATCTGAGAAATTTCATTCTGTGACTGAGGTTGATCTGGCAGCTTATTTGCATTACCATTTTTAGAGCAAGAAGAATATTTTCTTTCACCTTGCAATTTGTACCCAGGGTACTTTTCTAGTTAACCAAATTCCTAAGAAGGGTTAGGCAGGGGAATAGATATGGAATAGAGATGTCAACAGTGAAATGCTTCATCTTTATAGCTGAGAATAAAGTTCTGCAGTTTTTATCATCATATCAATGAAAACATATTTCTGCATAGTTCTTGCTCTTTGTTCACACATTCGGAAGTATTTAAAAAATAATTCTACATAGAAAGCATGGAAGCAGGGGGTTGCACAGAACAACTCTATTTCCATTTAGTCATCCAGCTTACTGAGGTTTTTATGAGGAATTGTTTTCAAATACCTATGTGGGATTTTTCCACAAGATTATGATTTTTGCAGGGAGGAGGGTGTCTTGCATTAAAGATTCTATTTGGAAACATTTTTGCTTCATTTTGAGCAAAAGGTATAGTTGTTTCCCAACCAAAAACCATGCTATTTCTTCAAATACTTTGGCATGCATAAATACCAGGTGAAAAAGTTGCAGAATTCTTGTCACTGTGGAAATTGCTTTATATGGTCAGTATATATGAGGCATGGGCAAACTTAGGCTGACCCTCCAAATTTTCCCCATCATACAGCAGCTGGGAGCCCTCTGGAGTGCACTCAGCTCTCTGTGTGCTTTCCTTGAGAGCCCTCCTCTTGGCATAAGGACAGGGTGAGCAGCCATGTCTTAATGCGAGAGAAGCCTGGTCCAGAGGAAGAAGCAAGTGGTGGGCAAGGCAGCAAAGCCCCCTTGGCTCCCACCTATCTCTCCCATCTCTCAGCATCAGGATGAGACATGGCCCTGTCCTGATGCCAGGAGAAGCCTTGTCCAAGGGAGGAGGCAGGCGGGGGTGAAAGAGCTCCAAAGTTCCTTCGGCCACCTCCCGCCTCTCCCTTCTCCCGGCGTCAGGACGAGGAGTGGCCTTGTCCTGGCAGAAGGGAGAGGCAAGTGGGGGCCAAAAGAGATCCAAAGCCTCACCCTCCTCCCAGCATGAGGATGGGGAAAGCAGCTTCATCCTTATGCAGGGAGGAAAATCAGAGGCTAATTCGCCCCTGGCCACCCCTCTCCTGCCTCTGGCCCCATCTCCACCCCACTGCCTTCTGGGCTAGCCCCACACCAGGCACACCACTCCTGGGCCCACCCTGCCCTCCCTACAAGTCCAGCCTTTCCTCCTGGCACAGCTCTCCAGGCCGGGGCCACAATGAGACCCCAGGGCAAAAAAGTTTGCCCATGCCTGGTATATACCTTATAATGGTATGGTCCTATAATGGTCAGTGTAGTTCAACTGCATTATATGAATCTACACTGACCATATAATGCATGTTTTAATCTGCATTTTAAGGTAGTGTAGATGGGGACTGTGTTATTCTTCTTGAACAGCTTTCCTGAGGACAGGGAATTATCAGCTGTCCTCAATAATGTGCTCTTTCCGCTCTAAAGGTCAGAACACACATTTTCTCATTCACGACTTTCTGTGAGCTTAGATGGTCAAGTATGAACAAACTGCTCACCTCTCCTCTTCTTGTTGTTGCTGTTGTTGTTATTGCAATCACCATCCTCTTCTTCATATTTACCCTGCCTTTCCTCCAAGGTTAGGATATGTATGAGACTTCTTGGGCAAATCACACTCTATTAACTTAAAGGGAATGAGGAATGCAAAGGCAAACCCACTCTGAATAAATGTTCCCAAGAAAACCCAATGGCCTCGGGGACCCCCCCCCCCCAAGTTGGAAACCACTTAAAGGCAAATAAGTATAAGAACAATAACTGCAACGATAATAACTTGATGAGAAGTAAAGCCAAAAAGTATACATTATTTTCTGAGAATATGTCTCTGATTTATTCCCCAACCTACCCCCATGCAAAGGGTTTCCAAAGCTCTTTGAATAAAACCCCATTTTATTCTCCTGAACTTTTGATATTTCCCTTGTCAGCAATTGCTTGTTTATCTATTAAATGTTTTAATCAAGGTTTACTTCATTGCTCATTTTCCGTATTTCACCTGAGTTTTGGATCAAGCCTTTATAGCATGAAAATAATTAATAGTCAGGCTTAAAGTTCCCAATGGCTGACTTCTTTTATTTAATCTTATGAATGAAACTAAAAAATCTCTCTCTCTCTCTCTCTTTTTTGCAGGAGTAACAACAGTCCTAACAATGACAACTTTAAGCATCAGTGCGCGAAACTCCCTACCCAAAGTAGCTTATGCCACAGCTATGGACTGGTTTATTGCTGTTTGTTATGCATTTGTATTCTCTGCCTTGATAGAATTTGCCACTGTAAATTACTTCACAAAAAGAGGATGGGCATGGGATGGAAAAAGTGTAGTGAATGATAAGGTGAGTGATAAAGAAACATGCTTAAAGCTGTTTCTGATTCTAAGAAATCAATTTAGCAACATCTGATGTTGATAGCTTTCAATTACTGGAAAATAATTTAAGTCTTAAACCAATATACAGACAGAGTAGATTAAAACAAAGTTGGAGAAGAAGAGAGGCTGACAGTTTGGGCACAAATTCCAGCTGAAATTAATTTGAACATATGGAGTCTTTCTCCATCTGTTTCATCTTAAAGGCACAAACATTGTCCCAAGGCTGTCTACAAATTAAACAATAACCTGTTTTTGCCTATTAAACATCCCAAATTATCATATACAGAATTTCATTATCTTCAATGATTTTTCAAGAAAAAAATGAGTGAGACTTAATGATGTCCAACCTCATATTTAAACCTCATATTTACCAATGGGCAAGAGGTTTACTCCATCAGATTCCTTTTTATTCATTTTACAACTTCCAGCCCCAAACACTAAACTAAATGTAATTTGAGTCAACGTGATGTACATCTCTAAACCTTTGAAAGAAAGACTACTATTTGGCGACATGCACACATTTGAAAACTATGCAGAAAATGACACACAGTTGTAAAATGAGCTTAACCAATGGCTGTTGCATAAAAAGATGTGTGTATTTGAAAAAAAAGCATGTTGATAAAAGCATATTGTCGGAAATGTGTACAAATTCTATGGGGGGGAGGAGAATATGACATGAAATTAACAAGTTTGATAGGAAAAAATGAACTTCAACAGAACTGATAGAACCAGCAATCATACAGATACTTACGTTTCTAATGAGAGTTCAGTGGGAAAACATCTGGTGCATGACAAACAAGCAATATTTGCAGAATTGCACACAAGGCTAAACCCCGTACCATCCTTAATGTCCTGATTTTGGTGGTCCCCCGATCCATTTTTGGGAGCCTCCTGAATTTGGACAAATAAAATTCCATTTTTTGATTCAGTGGCCAAAAGCTCCGTTTTTGCTCTTGGAAGATCCAGCTCATTGATTTTAACAAGAGAACTTTCCGGGCTCCCCTTTTGTCATTTTTATGGCATCAATCTTAAGAAACCACCCTTTCTGGGATCCTTTCTTTTCAATAAGACCTGGGTTTAAGGCACACTTATTTCAGTGGGAGCCACACCACCTGAAGGAGCCTTAGCCATTCTTTAAAAAAAGATATAAATTATCTTCTCATTTTATGGCAGCTTTAGAAATGACAAGTTACTTCTACCCCACATTTGAAGCTTGCATCAATTGAAGGACATAATCAATGGCAGTTTCTTAAATGTGTAGAAAGTAAACACTTATTTATTGCTATTTGAGTCAAAAAGAAAAGCAAGTGATGCAGAGCTGTGAGTGGCACTGAGAATTTAGATCACAAGCAGACTAGAGCATGATCTATCCCTCTCAGAAGCCTACTTGCAACAGAAAAATACAGGCCCAGCTTGCCTAAAGACATGTCAAGGCTTTCTTCTGTTCCAATTGGCTCAACGGACAGAGCTCACAGGGAAACCCTGCACTGGCGCGCAGCTCCCTCTCTGCACTCCACATGTAGCCAAATGAAATTGAAAGCAGGCGTGGCTGGCAGCTGTGTGGTCTGTTGTGGCTGAAAAAAAATGGTGCCAGTGCCTGTGCTGTTATGGCTCGCCAAAAGAGCTGAATTAGCCAAAGCCCATTTTGCAAAATGGATCTGTTCACAGCCCTAATAGTTATGAGTGCCTACAGGAATTTTTTTTGGGAACCAAGGGGAGACAAATTATATATAACTTGAAATAATTAGATTTGTCTGATGACTGAGCAATGGGAAAATCTAGACTAGAACTTCTGATTAAGAAACTTCAGATCTGCTTTTCCATTGTGCATTAGTAGACAGACCTGCATGCTGTCTCCCATTATTCCTAAACAGCCCTTAATTGCCTGCTGCTAAAATCAGGTTTGCAGGCCTCTCCACTATATTCCTGCAAAAGGTAGGCTAGATGATAACACTGTTACAGGTAATGTTTACAGGTTACTTTCAATACATTGTTTTGAGTGTGGGAGTCATGCTCAGGAATTAAAGGGCATTTTGGCCATTTTTAAAACAAAAACATCCTGAAATATCTCTTTAAAACAGTAATGTAGTAATTTATTACTACTATGTTAAAGTAACACATCAGAAATATGTTACCTTAAAAACAAGATCCATTATCATTATCATGTAAGCTTTTTATAGTAATGTCAGGCTTATTAAATCTCTCCAAACTTGTTTTGTATTACAACTGTTCATCAGCTAGTGCAAAAGTGGAGAGCAGCAGTATATTTAAATAAATAAAGTTGACATTTTTATGATTTATCTAACCTGTTTAGTTAAGTGTAATTTCCTTGGTAAATAAATAAAAATAAATTAGAATTCCTTGTAAAGCATATGTGTGTATATTGGAACAGGCACCATTTCAAGGGGGAAACTTCCTGAACTGGTGTTCTAATGCTTTGTCTCATCACTGGTGATAAGACCATATTGACTATTAATTATATAACCCTTATATTAATTTAGAAAGGAGCACAATTTAGAGCCAAACTAGATATTAAGAATAATATATATTGGGATGTTGTGTGGTTTCTGGGCTATATGGCTATGTTTTAGCAGCATTTTCTCTTAACGTTTTGCCTGCATCTGTGGCTACCATCTTCAAAGGATCATCTGAGAAAGCCAACCACAAATGCAGACAAAATGTCAGGACAAAAATGCTGCTAGAACACAGCCATACAGCCTGGAAACCAGACAACACCTCAGTGATTCCGGCTGTGAAAGCCTTCAACAATTATATACATTCCCTCTTGATCCACTCTGGTCAAACAACTTTTGTAATTTTTGAATCCTACTAAACCTCTGTCTCAAAGATGATTGAATATTCATATATTGTGTACAAGAGAAGCATTGAGCATATTGCTTCCTTTTTGTGGTGGATTGTCATTTATGCCCATCCTTGGAAGTGAGAGGACAACCATCTCCTCTTATTTATTCAGCCCTGGTACACACTAAACATTTTCACTATGGACCTGCAAAACCCTCCATAGCAGATGCATGCTTTAGCAGAAGAGGGATGAGGAGAAGTCCTGATGCTACCATGAGTGTAGCATTAAAATTAGCCCACTATTTTTATTTGTCTTTCATTTGTTATAAATATGTTAATACAGACATAACATTGGAGATGAGTAATTGGATTCCATCTTTTAACAGAAAAAAGAAAAGGCATCTGTCATGAAGAAAAACAATGCTTATGCAGTGGCAGTTGCCAATTATGCACCAAATATCACCAAAGACTCCGCTCTCCCAACCATCTCCAAGAGCGCTACCACCACGTCTACTGGCACAACCACTGCAGAACCTAACAAGGCAAAGCCAGATGCCAAACCAGCAGAAGCAAAGAAAACCTTCAACAGTGTTAGTAAAATTGACAGGATGTCAAGAATAGTATTTCCTGTTTTATTTGGTACTTTCAACTTGGTATACTGGGCAACGTATCTAAACAGGGAACCTGTCTTACATGGATTTGCTCCAGCACACTAAAACCTTAATTTTATGATGAGGGTGCATAACATCATGATAATCTGATTGTTTTCCTATGTACAGTATGACTAATAACTGCTAATCTGTGAACCAATATGTACAGAATGTATATAGGCATCATGTCCGTTTATCTCCAAAGGAGGTGCACAAAGTTTATTCATGGGATCTGAAAAACAGATAGCACCCATGTCAAATATAGTCTGCTCTCCTACCCATGTGAGTTCTCCTAAACTTGGATTCAAATATCCTAAATTATATCCATACAACCTTAAATGGTCCTACATAACTATTTAGTAACACTATTTTTTTAATTTAAAGTTTAAAATATTTTTCTATAAAATGACTGATTCTACTTTAATGCAAAGAAGCTATCATTTAAAAGAGAGATTTTTTAAAACAAAGTAATCTTAATAATTTCTTACGGTAGCAGCGCCCATGTAAATATTATAGATGAGCGGTGAGTTCAAATATTCTCTTATTGCAACCATTCTGAATGCAAGGTACATGTAAAAGCTATTGGAATGTCAGGGGTAATACTTTCTTCCTTTTAGTGAAGGTTCAAAGTTAATGATTGAAGGCTAAACCTGTGATCTTCCAAAACTTTTGTCTGAAAGGGGAAAAAAGATTTCCAGTAGTCCATGTGCCCAAGCAAGTTTACAAATTACAGCAAAAACTCTTTTCTTTCTGTCCAGCACTTGAGTGTTACATAAATAAAACCACTTGTGCAATGCCAATGGTGGGGCAAAACATTGGGAGCCCAGGAGTTGAGGCCGAACCCACCACACCACAGGGCATACATAGAAAACAGCTGTGATACACCAAAGCAAAGAACATATATTTTTCCGCTTCTAATTATGCCATCAGTACCATTTGTTCGGTTCTTTTTGTTAAAATAATCCTACCTGTATCAGTTTCCAATGCATTGATTTCTGAAATATAATCTATAAGACTATAGGATGCCTGATAATAATTTCATACATTGTTTACTTGCTTTGTTACAGATGTTTTCTGTTAATTGTTTTCATATGAAATCCATTATGTGACATTCTGTAGACATTCCAGGTCCTGACAAAAATGAGGAAATTACATAAAGGAATATTTATCTGGAAAGAGTAGCAAAACCATAGAGTTAAAATGACTCCCTTTATCCCTCCTTCTTGCTCCCAAAGTTTCACATGCAGACTTAATTTCCACATGACTCTTCAGAGTCAGAAGATAGTGTAGACAGTGAGTAGCAAGAGGAGATCAGGTTGGTTTTATTTATTTGCTTATTTGTTTATAAAGAAAACATTGCTATGCAGTAGGAAACCATTATTCTTCCAGGGATTCTCAATTCTAAATTGTTCCGATGAGCAACTTTAAGGATGATTTTACATTCATACCACTGGATTGCTGTACACTTGATGATTTGAAGCTGAATGTATAATTTGTCTTGTTGAATTCAATGGTGCACAACAGGAAGGTGCTTTCCACTGAAGGAAGGGCTGTTTTACACCATATACTGCAGTGTTGAATGAGAAAAGAGAAACTAAATCCAAACATATTCTTCCCAATGTGAAAGAGCTTGTGCATATTCGTGTATGTGTGGAAGTGTGAAAATCACTTTAAATCTAAGTGCTTCCTGATGGAGCACTGTTCAAATTCATGCTTGCACAAGGATTTCACATATCAGCATTATGATTTTCTTTCTACATTTTTTGCATACAACCCAGAAGTTTGAGGTGATATGAGGAATATTTGATACTTGTGTTGTAGCTGTGATAGTGTTTCAAGACTTCAAGGCTTTCTGGGCTCCTCCTTTTTTTCTACCTGCATCAGTAAAAGAATGAAAAGAAGCCTCTAGAAGATGTAAATTCACCTTTTAAATATATTGCATGTTCCTATATTCAAAATCAGGAAAAAAAACTTCCATTCACTTCTGGATATTTTTGGGTGTGGGACATTTTGGCAGTCTGTGACTAGCATTCTGTTACTGACTTATGTGAGCTGCATTATGCATGTGGAATGCATTTATTGGACATTGCTCAATGGTCATATCCAGCTGATGGGGAAAGAGGCAGAGGTCTGTATGCAACATGTAGACTGGAATTCATGGTGCATGGTGTATGCAATCTGCAACAGACCTTGGCTCATTCTGTAATAAGCCCTGCCATAGAGCATGCAGTGTCCTCCAAATGGTAAGCAGGCTTTTGCCAGTAGGCTCATAAAACTTTGTTCTCAAACTTGAAGTGACTGCTCAACTCCAGAAGCTACATATTGATCAAAAAATATTTTATAAAGGGATTGTAACTTAGAATATCAACAATTTGCTGTACACAATCCCATGAAGAACAACATTCCAAAACTTTAGTTGCGTATTTATTAGATTAAATGGCAGCAATTTGCACATGGTAGCCTATCTCAAACCAATTTTCAGTATTTCTCCAGTCTTGGTGAACACTTTTATAACTTTCAAAAAAAGAAAAGACAAAAGTCCAGAACAAACTTTCAGATATTGTTCTAGGTTAGTTATATAAGATTTCTCAATACAGATTTTCAAAAAGAAAAAAAAACTTTTTGGTTGATTTGAGACCTACCTTCCTTCATACTGTTAGTGAGTCCATCGCAGGCACTAGGAATAGTGCATTTTATTTTCACCTTCAAGAGAATGCCCTCATATTTAAGGAGTATTGCTGCTTTTGTAAATTGCATCTTTATATTTTGCTGGAATAAATTTAAAACAACTTTATATATATATTTAAAATGATTTTGCTAAGAGAAGGAATTTTTTAAAAATGAAATTAAACTTCAGTGCATCATCTGTTCTTAAGTGCAAATGGAAACAAATTGGAACCTCTGTTTGCATTTTTGTATAATATTTAATACTGATCCTTTGACTCGTTCTCATGGAGCTTATGCTTACATTCCATAAAAACCCTGTAAATCATACCACCCATAAATGATTATGTACTGTATTTAGATTTTATTAGCATATTTGGTCTATCAAAAGTATTTTGATTCACATACACATTAGCAGTTATTAGTTGACCTTTTAAAAAAGGATACACCTTTATGATGGTGTCTTTATAGTAGAGACATATGTAGTCGTATAGTGTCATTTATTTATTGCAGTTTTGTACAGTACTTGAATATAGTGCATAAACTAAATATTCCAAAGTTTATCAACACTGTATAAATATTTTTAAAAACAAATTGAAAATTACCTTAAATGTGTGGTAAGTCACCCATACACAAAATCCAAAGGTTTTTCCATTTATTGATTTATTTTCTTGTACATATATTTTTATAATTCATTCAATGTGATTTTGGTTTTGCTCTGCATGACAAATACTGATGGCAAGGTCGCAAATGCATTTTATGGGTTAGAACACAGAAGACAGATCTGGCATAATATAATTCAAACAGCTTGGAAGGATGAGACATTACTGTCCTATGATGTATACTTTTGACCCCTCTAATAAATTCAATAGTATTCTTGAACAGTAGTTGGGGAAATGAGCACTTTATTTGACACAGAAATATAGAATTTACTTATTTTCATACCTATTTATATATAATGTAGATCTGTGAATAGAAATGGGTGCAGTAATGTGATAAAGCATTGTAAGGTTTGAAGGTGAGCAATAAAATTCTTCATAATATAGTTATACATATCTAAAATGTTTTATTTGTAAATTATAAATTTACCCTTTAATGCTACACTCTCCAGGTAAAAATATAAATGTGTACATATGTAAATCAATTGTAAATACAAGTATTGTTGAAAGCTTTCTTTAGCTTTATCTTTGTTTTAGGCAAAGGGCTCTGATGGCATACTGGTGATACAAAGCCCATCTCAATGGTTTTGATGTGATCTGTCCAAATGTGACTTTCCAGGGAGACTGCTCAACCTTCACTAAGGTTGGGAATATGCAAATACACCACTTCTTCTTGCCATCTTTTACTGGCCATCTCTTTGACCTACTCAGTTTTTCAAACTCTGACTCTATCCAAGTATTGATCACCTGACTTGGGAGACTATGTATTTGTTTGTTTTGAAAATACAGTCTGGGAAGAAAATGAAGCCTTGGTTGAGGGAACGTCTAGGAATCTTTCACTTGAACTTCTGTCATTGTTGTGCTGTGTGTAGTAATTTAGTTACAACAAGAAATAGACTGTCTTGGTAATTTTCATTGGTGTTAACAACTACATCATGGCACACAAGTGCGAAATTGAGTACATTTTCTATCTTAAGTGATTTCTCAGAGCTCCATGTGATGTAGATGAACAACTGTGATGTTCCATAAACAAAAATAATCAGAACTCTGCATTCTAGAAATCAGAGGGTAAAGTGAGATTAGAATTTTTACAAGTTTGTAGTAGACATATGTTCTTAAGAACAATAGACTTAGAAACAAGATACCACTTGCACAATGAAGTGAGTTGTTTCTCTTATTTTCTCTAATCAGTGTAGTGTACCCCTAATCTTTTTCTAACCATGGATAGCTGTCTGTTTTATACACTGAGTTTGTACAAAGGAACCTACAGTAACTCCATATGAGTTAACAGAACTGTAGGGTACAGTCACAAACCAACAACAAATATAGTAATTTTGAAAAGCAGTTATTTAATACATTCTGGAAAAGGTTTAAATGTAAATATTCAGCGCCTGCACCTATGGGTTTGCCAATTCAGGATTTTCCAGGCCCCAGATCTCTGGGTGAAAGCCTGAGGTCTAAGTACAGCCCATGGTGATATCATTAAGCATTATGCATTAAGTACTGACCATGGTTGCTCTATTTCTCTCTCTCTCTCTCTCATTCTCTCTCTCACACATAAACACATACATACGAAGAAAGGGAGAGAAAGAGAATGAAAATATCTTCGCTAAAAGGGCTATTTCCAGATAAAGATGAAATGAGATTAATTACTCATCTGTTTAAGAAGGCTGGATAAGTTCATTAAATTTTATTGTTCCTTATCTTGTTTCTAGTCAGAAAGTGATAGCAGAGCATAGGAGAATATGGTTAGTCCTGGCATGAAGATAACTAGAAGGGAAGGCACAAATGTTCCCTTGGAGGGTCTTTGCAAGTTGAAGCAACACATAAAGAAAACCTTGCAAATTGTAGCAAGCTTCTACTCTTGTAGTTGAGCAGCAGATCTGCATTCAGCCCTTTCCTTTTGACTGGAGCCAAATCTCCTTGTCCTCCATCAGGAGATGACTCAGGGCCCTTCTACACATACCTAAAACCCCAGAAGTAGCCAGGATAAAAGGGGGGTGGGCTAAATGATGTTTAGTCAAAGTGAGGGGGAAATCGGGTTAATAGCTGAAAAGTATATGTTAAAAGAATGTGCTTAAACCCCAATTCCAACCAGTATGCATCTCATCAGCTGTGCTGCCTGTGAGGTCTCCTTGGGTGTGTGTCTGGGGGTGGATTCTGCTTATCCTGGGAGTCTTCCTGAGGGAAGCAGCCGCCATTTCGCTTTCCATGGTTGCTGGGGAGAGAACTCCAGAAAGGCTGTTGTTTACAAAGTAAAGGCATGTTTTTTTTTTTAAAAAAAAAAACAGCAACAAAAAACAAATCTAATTACTGAATCTGTGCAATTGTTTTGTTCTTGTTGGGTTTGAATGGATTAGTAGGGAGGAGCAACATTTTAGTATGTGATGAGTCAAAGCAGATTA